TTTTTTTTTTTCAAAATATCAAGAAATGCTTTAAATAACAGTTGCAGGATGGATTGTAGGAAATATTATTTAGATGGTGTTAAATTTGCAGACTTTCCGTCGACACGAAGTCCCATAAAGCTGACACTCTTTAATAATCCCTCCTCGGTGTTATTACCTTGTATTACAAGCACGATCTGAATAATAAATTTAATTTCGCTGTTACGCCAACGATATTAATTAGAAAATGTGCTGTTGTTAATAAATAACAGCTACTGAGAGATTAGCATACATATCGTTCATTGATCTCTTCCACTTACGTTACGTAGAAAAATTCCAGGGCACGCAGAATCATGATGAGCCTATGTACGTTGATGAGTAGGGAAGGGATGAAAATAACGGCATTAGTCTAGTAAATGTGAGAATTTATTAAGAACGGTATAATCCGGTGTGACAGGTCTGACATGTTAAATTAATTAAATAATAAATATAAAAATCACGCGTCATCCTAAATGAATAGCCGACTGCGCTCTCTCAAGCACATCACAATATTTCTCATAGTCTCCTTTTTTTTTTTATAAATTTTCACGAATTTATAGTAACTTCTATGAAACATGATAATAGCGTATGTCATGATCGGATATGATTTACAACTTTGGTTAAGAAAAATATATGTATAACGTGTATACCTCTATCATTAAATACGTCGATGACCGAGCCCTGTAGTTGCCTCGAATAGGGTATCAGAAAATAAAACAGACTCGTCGGATATAAACCGTGGTACGTTCAGTCTAAAGGGCTTTTTATAGATCACTATCTTCTTCTTGATCATACAACGAACGACGAATGCCTCAACGATTAACTCTTTACATGAAAAAAGCGTTCAGTTAATCGTCAAGTATTCAAATATTTTTTTAACGTCTAACATTGTTCAATAACGTTCTTACAACTACGACTTCGCTGGGTTTGATTCAAACGTTTTTCTTTTGTACCCGATTTAATTTCGGACCAATGTGTTTCTGTTCGTTGAACAATTACACCCTGCATCTTTGGCAGTCTACATAAAATCCTTCCGATACTAATAAAATCGCAAAGCGAATTTTTCTAATAGGACCCATCTCGGTTTGTTGGAGAACAACGTTTCTCCTTACAAAAATAGACCGTTAAAGCTAGACGAAATTAAACGGGATAAAAAATATTGGACTCTCAAACTAAGATATAAATGACTGCGTAAGAATTCTTAAAAAAAATTTCGAACGAACGAACGAGTTTAAGTAGAGGAGAGAATTGAGATCTGTCTCCTTGACAATTTTTGACTACGACGCTTTCTCGGTTAATTTGATCTAAAACGTAGATGGACTAAAGGCACTTAGACCGTGACGCGTGTAACAAAGGAATCAATCCCGAAATGTTTAATCGCCTCGAATGTTTGATAAACCGACACGTAAGGGAAATCTACCCAATGAATAATATTTATTTCATTATTATCAACACAGAAGTGAAACACCAGCACGCCTGTGTTCGAACAGCACCGGTTTAACAAATGCAACTTCAATATAATAATATATATATATATATATGTATTTATGTATGTACATATATATTTTGTGGACTCTTCGACGATCCTTTAAAATTAGAAATTAACGAGGAAATTATGAAAATGCTTCTAAATCGCTTAGCGAGAACGAAACGGATGCCTCGAAATATAGCACAGCCTTCCTTTTCAGACGAAAGTTACTCGATTCTCTGCTTTAGTTATGTAAAAATATTCTTTTTTTTATAAGCTACATATACATATTCTTCCTATATTCAAATGTGCACAACGTCTCGAGAATTGTCACGTTCATAGAAAAGGACAAGTATTCCTCTAGTTGAACCTGTGATAGAAATGTTTAAGGCGCGACTATGACGGTAGTCGATGATGATAAAAGTACGCTGTATTAAAAGTGACGATTTGTTTTCTTTAAAATGTACAATCCTGTAAAAATTTATATATACCCCCGAAGGCGATAGGATCTTTCGCACGATAAGTATTATCTCGAAAGTTAAATTAAGAAAACGAAACATCTATGTACAAACGCGGTGCATACGGTTCTTAATCTAGTTTGTCGGACACCAGCGGGAATCTAACTATCCGCAATTGCCGACCGAAGTCGCACACCACGCTGTCCCTTAACGCTAACATTTGCTTTACGAAAATACAACTATCTTTGTGACCCAATCTCACCTCGCGGACAGGCTCGCCCGTCCTCACGTCCCACACTACTAAAGATCCCTGAAATCGCACAATTCACAATATCCCTTTAATTCAATTACCTTGTTAACTACTCGTTGGGAAGCTCGGAAAGTTTTGATTCAGGAGTATCGGAGTTTCCGGGTCATGGGACGTCACACTGATTTAATAAATTTCTGATCACGTACCTGATTGCTAGTGATGAGTAGATGATGCGTTAGCATGACTAATTGCAAGCTGTACGCGGTTCTGTGCGCAGGAAGAGCGTGCAGCAAATGTCCCTGAAACCGCTCCCAGACACATAGCCTCTCATCGGTGCCAATGCTTATCACATACGATACGGAACACGTGATTGCGGCCACGGCGCCGTCGTGAGCCTGTATACTGTACATGCACGTTCCTGTGAAACATACAAACGAAATATATGTATCAATTCGATCAGTATTAATATTTGCAATTAAATAATTACCGGTGAGGAGATCCCAGACGCAAAGGAGGCCGTCCTGGGATCCGCTGCCGGATGTCATAGGGCTCATCCTGTCGATGAACAGGCAGGAAATGGGGCCACAGTGACCATGCAGAGTGTACAATGGCAACTGATCCTCCAGTCTGTAATTACAAAACAGATTGATTACTATTGAGAATTTTAATTAACTGTTTCTATCTCCGAGAAGCGACGTACCTGTACACTTTCAGGGTGTGATCTTGACTCCCAGTCAAGACCCGACCACCCTCGCTGTCCAGCACGGTTATCGCCTGCTGGTGCGCTTTGTGGGAAGCAATTTTTATGCAACGGAGGTCCTCCTCTGTTTGCATAATGTTGTTTATATCCATAGGTGAACCGGCGCTGCCCGTTCTAACGTGCGCTAGAAAGTTCAAGTCGTAAAGAGAGAATGCATTGAGATTTGCAACTTTTTAACTTACTTCTTCTGTACGAGGTGAAGCCCCAATCTATTTGCTGACCCTCACTGTAACTTTCCAGCTGGAGAAAGTCGATAGACCCATTCAGTTTCGCGGCTATCACTTTGCTCCCGACGAACTTCACGGCGGATAACCCGATACCCGATCCGTCGTCGAAGAAACACTGTATAATATATTATTTATTATTAAGAATCGAACTTGAGAAATCTCTTAATTGATTGAATACTCACTTTAAATTTACCCGTGGTACCTTCCCAAAATTCGAGATTCCCATTCGCACACCCGACGACTATAAGATTTTCCTGGTAGTCCATGCACCAGATAGGAGGCACCGCATGATTAATTTGCATATTCTTATCAGTGCTGAACGAAGACTGGACATTGTCTGGCAATCCAGATGAATTGAACCTTCCGCTAGGAGCACTCAATTGCTCGAGACACTCTAACGTCTGCAGCTCGTCTATGGACTTGTTGTGTTCTTCGAGTAGGTGTTTGTACCGATCACCGAAGTCGTACCCTCTCTCAGAACTCTGCTGCGGCGTATGTTTCATGGAAGAGAATTTGATATTTATAGCAGATTTCAAATCGGGAAGATCGTAGTCATTGTCCAGACTCTTGCGAACGTTCTTTCTCCTCTCCAGACCGAATTCCTTTATTTGGTAGTCGTAATCAGGCGCGTTTCCCATCGAGTGTCTCTTGCTCTGCGGTCTATGATGATACAATCCTGGGGAAGATTTTCTATAGTGAACAGCCGAGTACAATCCAAACGAGTTCGTGTTCTCCATTTCCCCTCTCGAGGGCGGCGAGCCACTTTCGTAATCCGACATCAGTTCGTCCATATCCGGAGTAACGTGGTTCAAATTTTTCTGAGGACTGCTAAAGAACTGTTTCCTGTCTATGTGAACTAATTGTTCACCAGACGTCGCGTCCCAGACTCTGATATGCCCGGCTAGACACGTACTCGCTATGGTGTTGCTGTCCGTGGCGATGCACTCCACCTCTTGCGTGTGCCCTTCGAGAACCAAAGGCAACGCCTCCAGGACCAACTGCGTCGCCGAGTCGTGTGCCTTTTCTGGCTGATACCAGCTGGCTCGCCATTCGGCGTAGTTTCTAGAGCAGATGCATCTGTATAGAACGACCATCGTATAGGCGACGACAATCACGCTAATGAGACAGAGCACCGCCGCTAGAAATATTTCCATCGGGCTCGATGGAATGAAAGGCGCGTCCGCGTTGAAACCTCGACCTTCGCCCCTGCCCGGCAGTTCCATATCTGTAATTAATTTTTTACTGATTAATTAGATCGAGTAATAGACTAAGATGCTAATCTGATCTAAATGAGTATACATCGCTACAAACATCGGCATTAGTGAATTATAATTTCTAGACCAGGACGTTCCTTAACTAGGTCAATCGATCATTTTTTTACCTGAGAAGTCTAGCGGGTCAAGCGCGGCTGTTGCGAGGCTCTGCCATTGGAAGTGTTGTACATCGTTCGGATTACTGATTTGCTTCACTAATTGCGGACTGACTGCGTGAGACAGTTTCACGGTAGGCAGTATAGTAACGCGTTCACCAGCTGCGGAGATATTGTACATCGAAAGGATAGATGACCAATGATAGAGCGACAATCGATTCCACGGTGGGAAGTCCACCGGTTTTAATTTGTTCAGCTCCTCGGTCACGTTATTAGCTAGGTCACCCTAATGTGCAATAAACAGAGACGTAAATTTAGTGAAATCCGAAGGGTCACTCCGGACGGACTCCTGAATTACCTGTTTGCTCAAATGGTCTGGGACTATCGTCGCAGAAGGTATCGACACGGGTTTCATAGTGTTTAATTCGACATAATTGTTCAACGAGTGAGATCTGTCCACCGTGTATCCCTCGATGTCCGACTCGGTCTTCAACGTCTCGCTCAGATGAATCACGTGCTCGATGATACCCGAATTGTATATTATCATACTGATCCAGACGACCATCCAGACCATGAAGGCGCGCTGAAATATCCGTGTCCTCGCCCAGAAATGTACCAGACGCAAACGTTTCGGGATCTTACCGAGCGTGTGCGTGTTCTGCGTGTTGGGTGCTATGACGTTCGTCGGCCCGTTCGACAGACCGTTCAATCTCGGGTGGGACTTGGACCGGAATATGTTCGGTTTCCGGTTAGTTATAGTCGTGGTGAATTGTTTACGACTGGCGGGGATGTTCGGGAAGTGGAGTTTGGAGTTCTCACTGGACAGCTCTGTTCTCTTTATGTCTATCGCTAGAATCGTCGAGAAGAACACCATTTGGAGAAAGAAATCATTGACCAACCCGACGATGGCGAATATGCAGAATTCTTGAATGGCCGGCACGAAAGTGAACAATCCGATGGTCAGGATGGTCACCTCCGTGAGGAGATTCTTCGTGATAGACCAGCCCTCTTTGGACAGCGCTTGGGCCACGCGAATTTTCACGTCCAACTGCGCGGGGGTGCTCACCACGCTCTTGGTCAACACCAACACGTTCTCAAGCCCAACGATGATCACGAGGTACGGGAATACCTCTTTGCCGCTCAGACTCAACGTCAGTCCGAAGAAGAAACATACGCCCACGGTCATCGAAAGCGAGCCTATCACCGTCACCGTCGCGCTAAACGCGATGCCGATTTTCGACTTGACTAATTCGATTTTCCTCACGGAGAAATAGACATAAAAGAACAGAGCGAAGAAGGTCATCATCAGAGGGAAAAAGTCGCTGTAGTTAAATTCACCGGGATAAAAAATGTGTAACGTCTCGTCTATGAGCGTGGAGCCAGTGCTATTGCTCTCCACTTGGTAAAGCGGGTAATAACTCTTTAATCTGTGTTGCAACCCTTTTATAAATCTGAAAATTCAATCGATCCAGTAGAGGCTCGTCTATTTCTATTTCCTTTTTATCAATTACTCACTGAGGGTCGTAGTCTTTTAGGAAAATGGTCACCGCGTATTGCAAGATTCTTTGCCTGAGTCGAATCGGGTATCGTTTTATCCCGGTCTCTTTCAGATTCATCCCGAACATTATTTCTGCTAAGCTAATTTTACCCTTCTGTAGATTCTACAATAATAATATAATTATAGTACCGTTATCTTTGAACTATGACAAATTATTTCACTTTTTTCGATTCTATTTATAATCACCTGATATGAATAAATGGTGTTTATGAGATTGGTGTCTTGGGCGAAGAGCTCGATGCTCCTCTGCCACAAATTCGCGGGGGACAGAACGAGACAATTGTATTCTGGTAAAATCTCGGACTTTTTCCCATTGCGTCTTTTAACAGCTTCTACATGCAAGCATACTTGGCCGAGCGTTTTTAATCTATAGCAGATACGTACACGAATAATGAAAACATTCCTTGACCTAAGACTCCAGTAACGAACGCGCGAAACTTACGTTTCTGGATGTTGATAATTCTGTATGATCTCTAACAGATTAAAGATCTCGTACAGTGGTCCCCTAAAAGCGTCCATCAACGTCAACTCTTCTGTCCATGGGACAATGCCGACCCTTAATACCACTTGTTGCACGTAGAACACGGAATTCTCCGTGTTATTTTCAGGTACTACGGTATGATTGATTACGGTCCTTGGCGCATTGCCAGGCATTGGTACATTGACCAAAGGATAGCTACAGCAATGAGAAAAAAAAAAATCAATATCTCGCTGCCCCGATGGATTACTAATGAATGCCGGGGGCGGCGGAGTCTTATGAGAGAGTTAACTAACCAGCATAGCAATGCGATCGAGATTGCCAGTGAAATTACTGCTCTAGGATGAGACGAGCAAAACAGGCCGTGGGCATAGAACAGCCCAGCCACCCTATCTGGTAAACAACGGAACATTTCACCTTAACGCTGTCTCGCTAACATGTCTTACATCATACGGGCATACATATTGCTAGGCATTGTCCTGAGAACATCAAACAAAAAAAAGAAGCCGCATAAATGAACAGAACATCAGAGTTTCTTTTAAAATTAAAACGTAGAGCGCGCGAGTTACTTGGCGTACACGGCGTTTCATAAGAACATCGACCGTGGACAAGGGAAGGTGCAAGAATTTGCGACGCAGTATTAATACTGTTTTTCTTTCATTCGTAATTGATTATCGAGCGTTACGGGATCCTGTACGTCGGATCAAATTAGAGCGTACGGCAATATTTACACGCAAGGGTTACGTAAAACGAAAAGAAAAGGCGCACGTGTTTTTCTCTAGTTATCACTGTTTATTACGCAACGCGAGCATCATTCAATTCGTACATATTTTCGTGTGGATCGGGTCAATGATGCGCGGCGCGCAAGGTTGCGAGTAAACGCGTTTCCGTCCGTGACGCAACGGCGAGCAAAATAAAAAGCACGGGCGGCGATGCACGCACCGGAGAGGATACATACACGTCGACAGAATTCGTAGGACACACCACTTACGTATGCGCGCCGTACTAATTATACCAAATCCCTCGGGGTCGCGCTCCTCATTAAGATTTACATGATTGATCACCAGCAGCAAGCGAGAACGCACAGACACTCAGCTTGAACGGTTCCTGGAACACGCGAGGAGGTGCACACGTATACACGATGTTTCGCACGGTCAACGTACGGCCAGCGACGAAAATCTGGTTGTACAATCGTGGGTCGTGTTCTCTGTCACGGTCGAGTCCGTGAAAATGACGCACCGCCCTGCTACGTGGTGAACTGGATACGAGTAGACGGTTTTTAGGTTAGGTTCGACCTTTCCTCCCGCGAGCATTTACGCGTAGATAAAATTGATCTCTGACGACACGTTGCCGACGAGCGCACGGAACCCGCTCGCACACGTGCTGCGGAACGCGCGTCGCCCCGACGAATGCGAAACGAATGAACGGAGCGTGCGTGTGCCCAGCAGTTCTCTGTGGCACGTATGTATGTACGCACACCGCGGAGAGAGAGGTTAACGCGAACGATACGATGGCCGAGAAACGACTGCACGGGTAATAAACACGGCGGAGTGAGAGACGGGGCCCCCGGCGTGAATTCTCCGAGTGCACTGCCCGGATTCAATTTAACTCGCTCGACACTGCCAACCGAGCGCTAATTTATTTTTAAACGGAGTTCGGGCCGAGCCTCCGACCGAGCGACCAATCGCAGGTGCATTTAATGTTATGCATACGGAGAACCGTGCGCCCAACGCGCGCTTTTTTCTACCGTGCGCACATCCCGCAAAATTTTATAAATTCGTCCAACTAGACTTTATCCCTGCAGTTCGCTTTTATTTACGATGCTCATCGAGAAGCTAAATGTTTCATTTTTCTAAGCCATCAGATCGACAGCGTGAAATAAATACGAATATTCACTGTTGCATTTAGCTAAATATGTAAATGTAACAGTAAATATTGCTTAAATGTCCATACTTTTCACTTGTACCATAGTATACGCAAATGTTTTTTGCAATTATTTAACGAGTTCGAGCCATTTCTTTTGCATGTATTAAAATATTAAATATGAAAATGCTATTCTCTGCGCGATTCGTATTTGAATGGTGTTGCCGAGCGCCGTCCGAGATGGCGCAGTGGTGTCAGCGTCATTCCAAAGTGCGGAACGTAGCTCCGTCTCAGATTCAGTTTTAAGTGTAAAAATTACTGCAAAAGTGACTCTACTTTTACTAAATACTGCATTAGTTTGTCCCAAAAGGTACATAGTTTCATATTATCATATAGTTTTACATAATCTCTCGATAATTCATTCGTATCGAATGATTGTCTGCCGGCGTCGTCCAACGTTCGGTCCTGTAGCCCTTTTCCCTCTAATCTTCACCCCCGTAAGCAATAAAAATGCGTTTAACAACCTTTTTGATGGTTTTCTCGGATGAAAACCTTAGTATTTTGAAATGTAATCTCAATTAATTGATAATTCATTTGTATCGAATGATTATCTGTCAGCGTTGTTCGATTGTCGGTCCTTTAGCCCTTGTCGTGGAACATTCGGTCCTTTAGCCCTTGTGCCAATGTTCGAGCAATGAGAATGCGTCTAACAAAAGTTTTCCTTGTTGCTTCAGATGAAGACAGTTATCATCAAGAAGCATGACCTGAGTCAATATCGAAGAGGCATGACTGCGACGGAAATGGAGGAAGATTGGGTACATCGGTGTTACCGGTGAGTGAAATTACATTGAATTCGTATTACTGCCATTTCTTTTGACTCGTAATATATTCATTTTTTATGTATATGTTAAATATTCGTCAAAAGCTCGTACAGACGCTTTTACATAATTATCTTTCGATTAATTCGCACACATACGTTTGTGATACTGAATATTCTTTTTATGATCGATGCTTTTTATTATCATTGCAAATTGTTGAATGCCTGAAGGATTGTTTTTATTGAAGTTCTGTCTTCAATTCATGGATTATGTAAAAATTAGCATGTTCTTGCGTAACAAGAGCAAAGGGGGGCATAACTATATAGAGTAACCTGTTGAATTTACATTTCGATTACGTGTTAGACTCTTTCATGTGTTTACGATGATCAAACATGTCAGACGAATCGTTTTTTAAGTAGAATTTCCTGCTCAAAGATGTTCGTGTCTACTTTTATACCTTCTAGTTGTATCTGTGGAGCAATTATTATATGTATCTTTACGACGAGCACGTTAATCTGTTGCATTCCTTGCGAGTAAATGCGACTCTGTACCAACACGTTTGTCATTTGAATTGTTAATGACCGAATGCAAATCAGCCGTGAGAGCATCATAGGATACATTAAAACGAATCTTTGAACCTGGCGTTCGAATTCGAAATTGAAATCCTTTTCGTCGAGGTTGACTCGAGGCGATTTGTAATTCGTAAGAACACAAACTGGAACGTGCAATTCAATCCTTCTAGCCGACACTCAATCCAAGATAAGGAAATCGATCCTTACCGCAGATGCTTGTAAAATTCACACATGCGAACTGTATTATGTATAACGACTCGTCTCGTTTCGCTTTGTCTCGTTCCCGCCGAGACTGAGTGAAAAAATAACGCGATACTTTTTTTTGTCATTAATAATAATTGGCTCCGATATCCCATTTACGGTTATCGAGACAATTTTTAATGCTTGCTCTTTTTCATACTTAAATGGTAAGGCAATATTATTCCTTTTCGAAATAGCCTCGGGTGCTTTTTTAAAATTTGCATCAATTGAATTTTTACATTTTCCTCTGTTTCCCAATTACGTTAAAAAATTTCTAAGAACCAAAGAATGAGGGAACCTCATACTTAGGAATAATCTTTCTATCAAACAATGTGGATTTTTTTTTAATGTGTTACTATACAATTTTTGCCGATACTGTTATCGCGTCTGAATACACGCGAAGAACGTTTCTGAGAAATTTTCTTGCGTGACGTTGTTCGATATTTCCTGCTAAAACGGTGGCCTTGTATGAAATTACCGTGGGTGAATCGAATCGATTTCGAGCCAAATATCTCGTTCTTGCGAAGCTGCGTTCCTTCGCGCCTCGGCCTTCTCGTTTCGTGGCCATCCCAGTTATTTTTGTGTGTACACCCACTCACAGCAGTCTCGAGGTTTTCTTTGTATAACATTAAAAGAACGAGAGTAGATAATTGTAAATTGTTTTCCTATTTTAAATTTAAGACATACGAGTGACTCTGTTCTTTGTATAATGATCTCTCCTTGCATTGGAATCTTTTTGTTTGTATTGGTTAATTATCATCTAAAGCTCGAGTTTGACAAATGGCTAAGTGCATGAATAATTGATTCTGTTTGAATGACTACGGAAATTAGCTTAGAGCAGGCAGGATCGTAGATTCAATATTTAACGGTTTCTTCATATGAGAACTATGGTTTTACATAAAAGTTGACCCTTCCCGTAAAGCCGGGTCGTGAACTACACGCGTCACATACGAAATTTCATATCCGAAGGTCGCGAGGAGTGCCAGATAACCTTCACACTTAAAGGTTCTCTCGATTATTCCTGGTTCCTATGAGGCCTCTCGCAATCTGAAATTTTCCATCGGTACAAAAGAGATTGCCAGTAATTAAAAGGGTTATCTGACGATCCTTAGTCACGATGGAACAGATTTATTCCGATTTCTCACTATTAAGAAAAATACATTATCTCGTGAATTCATTAAATGAATTGATCGTTTTTTAAATAGCGATTTGCAATTCGTACAACGATCTATCATGAAAGACTTCTGAATGTTTATAAGAAGCCACTTTGTTTGTCAATTATTATTTATGTAATTCTTTGTTGTCGCCACGCGCTCCGTCCGAATGGTTCGAGGCAAGGGGCATTATGAAAATACGTGATAAAAACCAACGTTTATTTTACGTTTCATGTAATCGGGCCTGTCGACCAGTTTATGCGTCACCGACACAATTTATCGCTTGCTAATTAATCCATAATTCCCAGTAAAAGTTTTCATCGTCAGGCTACAGGTTTTATGGATTTACAAGGAAATTAAGTTTGGATTAAACGTGAATAATACATGCAGTGGGTAAAAGTGCGTAACAGGAAAATGCATGCAAGCATGAAAGGAGATTCTTAGTAAGTATCATTTTTTAAATCGATTTTTATTTTCCATAAAAATATGCAATCATTTAAAAATGAAAATAGACTAATTTATAGTTCGATTTTTTATTATCTGCCATTTCATTACATATTTTATATTATATTTAATTCCACAGTTCTCGGTACATAATTCTGTATTTAAATAAGAGGTGAGTCTTAGAAATCTGTCCCAAGTAATTTGCCTTCTATTCTGAAATTTTATGCTTTTAGTTTTCGGTCTTTTTCTGAAGAACTAGACGTGACTAATCGTGACACCCGGTACAATCGCGGTCCATTGAAGCGTGTTTTCATCGCCACGAGCGTTTGAAGTCGGATTAACTTTGTATTGTCCATCCCGGCCGGTCCCATTATCCGGCCGATTGACGTATCTAATTGCATCAATTGCGCAACAAATGGAAATTAGGCTGCTGCGCGGTGGTCAATGCCGTGCGCTGGGGTCAAACGTCTACGCGCACGCGTCTCGTTTCTCATTTTTCGCGCCCCGAACAGGGAATTACGAATTGCGAGATTTATGGAAAGTCGATGTTTTATAGGAAAGTCAATTTTATATAGGAAAATATAATGGAAAGTAGATTTACTTAATGTACCATAGGATATATACATAAGTTTTATAGTTAAATGGAATTAGAAATCAATTCTATTTAATGCATAAAAAGAAGGAATTGATTAGGTAGCAAATCTAAATAGAATCAAATCTGAATTTCATGTCTTCATTAAAGTTTTTTTTTGTATTGTACATAAAAAGTGGGTTACTTGCTTTCAATAGAATTTTCTTTCGAATGTGTATATAATCATTTATTCGCATAATTTCAATATAAATTTCCGGTTTCCTTCCTGGAGACGTATAACTTAAATCGAACAGTCATCGTTTGCGTCAGCCAATACTACCGTCGACTCCCAGGTTGCTATGACTCAAGCTTGATCATTTATCTCGCTTATAGGGCTAATGTTCCCAAATGAAACGTCGCAGAAGCGCTTAGAAATTACTTAATTAGTACTATTGCTCATTGTGGTCGAGTTCTTCAAATTCCAGTTTTCAGTTTGTAATTTGAATATGAAACAGTCATTAAGATAATTTTTCGGGCGTTCAGTTTATCAGTGATTATTTGATTCAGCGTTCAAAGTTTAACGATTCTGCGTCACGTTGTACGTATCCAGATAGAAATCGGTATGCAAACAATTTTTTCGTTTGATACTTTCGACTTTTGTCGAGAAGCAAAAATTCTTAAATACAGTTATAAACTTGCTATGTAAATTTTTATAATAAGAATGAGTTACATAGTCGACCTTCGAGTTTATCAAATATTTGTTGTTATGCACAATGTGCAACCTTGCCCTGTGTGATCAATCCCAGTTGATAACGCAGCTTTGATAACGTGACTCGTTGACATGTTCCAATCCTCTTTGCCTCTCGCAGAGGGCATCAGCTGCCATACACTCGTTACCATAATTATATATTATTATATATAATTTTAATTAAGATCATTCAATGTTTAAAAATATTTAAAGACGATTTGGGTTTTTGTATGCATTTTTATATCTCATTATTTTCTTATTATTAGTAGGACGGTTTCTTTCAACTTGCACACTGGCATTAACAATAGATGGCAGCATAAGGCTGTCTCATTGTTAAGATTATGGACCTGTTTAAGATATCAAGGGACGTGGTAGTGCTACGAGGGCAAGTTTGATTTAGAGGACTTGTGGTGATATAAGTCGCTCTTCAGAGTCGTTGCTTATTCTTAAGATCGTCTTAAGCATTTGCTATCCCTGTCTATCTCATGTTTCCAGTTTCTGTCTTGTACAGGAAACAGGGACATGCAAATGCTTAAGGCAATCTTAAATATAAATGATGATTCTGAATATCGATCATGGCAAACCTCCCTAAGGGAAAATAAAGAAACTAAACTAAATTTAAGATATTTAGTTAGTCAATATGTAATTAATATTACATTTCATTATTTAATTTGATTTGTGATGATTGTGATGATGAATTGAATTAAGGACGATGATTATAATCGAGGAATTGTATTAAAAAACACAGTAAGAGTACAGTTATGACTTACTATCTAAGTTTTATGATTTACGATTACGATATTTGTTACAATGTGAATATACTTAATTCTTTATAGTGATTGTTTGATTTCTTGAGGCTTATTGTCGTAATATACCAGTAGCCTGAAGAAACTGCTTGTTATCGTGTCGCAGAGACACGAGTAGCAACAAGTGTCTGAAGAAGCCCCTTATTGCCCGAAGCAATGGGAGCAGTTTGGTCAGATCGAATTAGAATTACTCCGATCGGCTGGCTGCCAGGCATTAGGCGAAAATTGATCACCCTGATCGAGTTTTGTTCGAGTTTAACCACTGGAGGCCGTTGACTAATGGTCCAAACTGTTTTCAAATGTTAGACCCAGTTTACTATCTTTCAGAGAATTGTATCAAATTCTCATTTTCTTTACAAGCTTTTTAACTTCCAATTAAACTTCGTCGTTGTCATCCTTAGAGCTTCCAACTATTAACCAGTTAAGTGTGTTTGACGACTATATCCGTCATGGAAGAATGGCAGAATTTTGTGTTATGACGGATATATCCGTCATGCGTAAAATTTTGTTACAATTTCATATTTAAATTGTAATTCTGGCGAAAACTAAATTATATTCGTAAATTTTAATATGTTTAGAATGTTACGGGGTCAGGACGAAATGAAATAAACAAATGAAAATTATAGATAATTTGAGTTGGATTTCTAACTTCCTGAGAGCTGACTATATCCGTCATCGCTTGATTATCGCGACACACACTGGGACGCACTTTGCAAAATGATCGACACAGTTAACTGGTTAATGGCTTGGATTATTTTTTATTTTCCACATTCGAGCCAGTTGATTTTTTTTTTATAGATCGCATCTTTTAGCCTCTGAAGAAACTTTGTCATTGTCTTTCACTAATTCTATAATTCATTCCTTCAACCTTTCGACCATTAAATGCTGTTGATTAATGGCTTGGACTATTTTTTTTACTTGCCACGTGACACAGTTGCTCTCTTTTACAGAGTTGTATCAGATATAATTTTGATCTCTTTTAGTGAGTTTCTTGGCTGTGAAAAAAATTCTTATCTTATCTCTCGCTAATTCTGCGATTCGCCCCATCGTCCTTTTCATCTCTGAGGAATCACGAAAGTTTTCTTTCATCTCGTCGAGAAGTTCCCAGCGAGTGTCTGTCGTTGGCAAGTTGAAAAATTGCCGGGAACAAAGAAACGCGGGCTGACCTTTGATCTTAAACGAATTTTCGGTTACCAAGGCGACGGGAATGAATTATTTATTATTGAATTTATTGAAAGGGGGAGTCCACGGCGGGAGCGTCGGCGACTAATGTGGCAGAAAACGCGTCGCCCATGGAAAAATGTTGTACCGCGTTTCTGAATATCAACTCTCCGCCAGCCGGCTGTTTCTCCGTTACCGAATAAATCTGAATTTTCATACGCCAGAGTTCTCCTGTCGAGGCGAAACAAATGAAAATACAGTGGAAATTTTTGCGTTCCCAGACACGAGGGAGGGAATGATTTTTCAGATAAACCGTTAAGACGTCGCGTACAGAAGTCATGCCGTTTGCACGATTCTAATAAAATCGTGCAGGTAGGACATGCGCGGCTCGCGCAGCTTCGATTGTTACGGGGGTTGCCGAGTTTCAACCCTCAGTCTGGCGCCGCGTGCGACCGCGAGTCGACCGCGCCGCACGCTCTCCAACACCCCCACACGGTACGCGATCGAGCCATGACTCGCGAGGCGGTTGTCTATCGCCCGAGCACCGATCCGACGTGACCTGAAATAAAATCGAAAATCACTCGAGAAACGGAGCCCCGTTCGATTGCTCTTAGACGATTTTGTCAAAATGAACATTTCCAGCGCGGAAGCTGAGTCGCGTGAAACGATTAGCCGGTTAGTCGCATCGAAGTGCGGTAGGATGTGACAGGGACAGGTCGCGGACACAGAATCGAAAGGGATGCGCGGAACGTTCGAGGCGAACGACGAAGGGGAAGAGCCTGTAGCCCTTCATGGCCAACACTGATCTAAGATGAGGATCCAATGCCGCTGGTACGCCCTCGTTCTGCTCACGTGCTCGATCTGTCCCGGGCTGGCTGGCCCGCAGGAGGTGCAGATCGAGAGGCCGAAGGAGCTGTTGCGTCACCAGCAGAACCACCGGCCGTCGTTCATCGACCGCAGGCTCAAGATGTACGAGACCACAGAGTCTCCTACGGATCTAGATGATCAGGACGATGTCGAGATTTATAAAAGTAAACTGGAGACCAGCATCGAGAGACCGGCCACGCAGATCAGACACGGTCGATCTAGGAATCACTTCGTCAGGCAATCTAAGCTCGACGACGCCGATATGTCTTACATGTCCAGTGCGGCTGATAACGATAAAGACACGCAGGACGCGAAGAGTAAAAATAAGATTCAAGACCGGAAATCTTTAGGCACCGTCGACGAACGATCTACGGTCGATCTAGACAAATTATTGACCAGACTGTCCGAAGCTGGGTCTGATCGTAGGAAGGAGGAGAAGATGCGGCATAAAGGAGATTCGATAAACAAATTGAAGAAAGTGATCGCTAGGAATCGGTCCAGGTTAGCTGGTAACAGAACAGTCAGCAATCTGACCGAAGTTTATGGACACATCGTTCACGGGACGTCGACTGGTGACAGAACTGACTTAGACGACGCAGAGATCGGTATATTAGAAGATTACGATATGTACGACAGTGAAAGCAATAATAGCTCCGAGAGCGAAGATTACGAGGACTATGGGACGAACGGGGACCAAGGCAAGCCTAGCAAAGAACCGGTGCACGTGGACATCGTCACCAGGTTCCTTCGAATCATTGAAAATCAGCATCTCCTAGGCGAGAATTGCACCGCTGGGACGGATCTGAACCTGGGCGAAGGCATCGTGGACCAATACGCTCAGGAGAAGTTCAGATTAGAAGCCAATTTGGCGGTGAACAGGGCAAACATGCTCACCAGGCTGTGGAAATACGCGCCGGAAGTGATGCTGTCCTCGGAATACTTGCTGCACGCGAGCATCCTGTCCATGGTAGAGTTCGACGAAGACATATTCGCCGCAGGCAATTGCTACGACAAGCTGCAGTACAGAGACCATTGGCTGTACTGTCCGTTCGCGCATCGATTACAGGATCAGGATGGGATTCTTGTTAAGGACTTGGCGATTGAATACAAGTACCTTAGTAACAGCAGCGAGTGGTTTTACATCGCTAGGAAAAACGCCGAGAGAGTTATCGCAAATAACGACCAGTTCAGTCGCGGTGAGTGCTCTTCAAGTATGGAAAACTTGTTTCATCTAAGAGTCTATTGATTCTATTGTTAATCTTGGCAATTTTTTTATTTGAAAGAGAAGAATATATTCTTCGTATGATAAATTTGTATACAATAAGGTTTGATGACATAATTCGATAAGAATTAATTACGTACGATAGTTATTATTTTATTTTGCATACTTTAAGATAAATACGAAGCGAGGAAATTTCTTTATTGGAAAGACTTCTCGGTTTCTCACGGAATTCTCATTTTCTTCGAATTTATTTCATCGTTCCCTCGATATTATCGCTGGGGGGGTTGTAAAGGACTTCATTAAGTGCAGGCCGGTGCAATAAAACCGGTTTAAATGAATTTTCGAGCTCGCCGTTGAATCGTAGAAACACGTGAAAAATTGTATACGCTACTCTGCTAAGCTCCGCTCGCTTTGAATTTTAATTCTCCGCGAAACTTACCAAAAGTATCCACTGCGACCTTTTATTGCATTGCTCCTGACATTCATTTGCTGTGTTCTTCGTAATAAAAGTATGCCATGCGTCACACGGATTATTTTCTGCGTCGTGCACGACGCTATTAGTCGACAGGATTTTTCTATCTGTTTAAAAAATGAAATCCAGTTTGAGGCTCCTTTAGTTCTTCAAAAGTTATATCTAATTTTTTTATAACTGCATAAAACCTAGTCACAATCGGAGAAAATATTAGGCAATGAATTGTAGAATCAAGTCTGCAAGTGGAAAATTAGGATTTTTCTATCTGTTTAAAAAATGAAATCCAGTTTGAGGCTCCTTTAGTTCTTCAAAAGTTATATCTAATTTTTTTATAACTGCATAAAACCTAGTCACAATCGGAGAAAATATTAGGCAATGAATTGTAGAATCAAGTCTGCAAGTGGAAAATTAGGATTTTTCTATCTGTTTAAAAAATGAAATCCAGTTTGAGGCTCCTTTAGTTCTTCAAAAGTTATATCTAATTTTTTTATAACTGCATAAAACCTAGTCACAATCGGAGAAAATATTAGGCAATGAATTGTAGAATCAAGTCTGCAAGTGGAAAATTAGGATTTTTCTATCTGTTTAAAAAATGAAATCCAGTTTGAGGCTCCTTTAGTTCTTCAAAAGTTATATCTAATTTTTTTATAACTGCATAAAACCTAGTCACAATCGGAGAAAATATTAGGCAATGAATTATAAAATCAAGTCTGCAAGTGGAAAATTAGATCAAGCGATAAAAGTATGAAATGTTTTATTGCGGTAATTTTTCCATTGTGTAATAGGCCATTAGTCAAAGAATTATTGTACGTCGCGACACGAGTAATACAGCCGTTCTAGTAGACGAGTGGTATAGTGCAGATGTCGTCAGGATTGAAGTGGTTAAATTATGTAACCACGCAGGTAGAACAAGTACGGTATCAGGCCCCGGAGAGTGGAATGGAGTACGAATGTCGCTGCATGAGTAGAGTATACAGAGATCGCGGCTTAATAAAATAGGTGCATTGTGGTCGGCCAAGTGAAACAGGTACTGCATGTGGCCCGGCAAGTAGAATAGCTGTATAACACAGTTACGAAACAAGCGTTGGACAACGAGTAATGGCTTTCTATTTTGATTGCTTTCATATACGATCCGTCGCATGAGAATTACCCCTGGCAAAGAAATTCTTCCACAAATAATAATATAAATTATGCACTGAAGTAATGGACAATTAAACTTCAATGTTCACAATAAATTCTACAGTCCAGTGTCTTGGATGTATGAATACTATTTAATTATATAGTATATATAATTATATACTATTATAATTACTCTCATCAGCAGAAGATTTTTGATAAAATAATTATATAAATTATTTTGATTGCTTTCATATACGATCCGTCGCATGAGAATTACCCCTGGCAAAGAAATTCTTCCACAAATAATAATATAAATTATGCACTGAAGTAATGGACAATTAAACTTCAATGTTCACAATAAATTCTACAGTCCAGTGTCTTGGATGTATGAATACTATTTAATTATATAGTATATATAATTATATACTATTATAATTACTCTCATCAGCAGAAGATTTTTGATAAAATAATTATATAAATTATAGAAAATAAATTATATAATATAAATATATAAAATAATTATATAAATTATAGAATGTTAAATCTTGATAATTAATTGTTCCAATGTTACTGCATTGTTGGAGAACTTTGCCAGGGGCAGTAGAAACGGAGCACTGAACGTCGTGGGTAGTTGTCTGTTATTGGGATATATTAATTCTATTTCTACGTCTTGACGTGTAATAGCCGTCCCGTCGACAATGATATGTGTCAAGTTTGTTCCACGGAACTTAATTTCTCGGGCAGGAAACCCTAGCCGGGCTCGCGGATATTGGAAACGTCGGACTAAAGAGTCGACCCAGATTTTAATGGAAGACCAGTCCTCAGATTACTTCCGCTTCCCGTACGGAGCACTTCATTGTCTGTCGAAATTGAATGATCGCAGAAAAAGGGAAAATACACTGGGTGAAGGGTTTTCCACTGCGATTTCCGATCCCCCCTCCCTCTGTGTTGGTCCCAGGAAATTCACTGCGTTCCAACCACGAACGTGTCCCTAAGCTGATTTTTATCATGGTCAGATCTTTGAATCTCTCCTGATGGAATTTAATGAGAAAC